TACAGCTGGAAAAAGATTTGATGCAATTTTGATTAAAACCTACTCTTTTTGTACTAATCTTCAGCACAGTCAATTGTTTTCTTAGCTCTCAATGAGTAACTTCATGCCTAGCTTGTGCTTGGATTTCAATATTTTTAGAATAAGATAAAGTGTACTTGGCATTTTTAGAATAATGATTAATAATCAGTAAATTTCTAAAAACAAGAAAAATGTAAGATTATTCTTTTACATGGTTGCTATGCAGCAGAATACAGCTCTTAGTTTTTGCTCTGTCTTATATCATGTAAAATATTAAATTACTTTAGGCCACTGGTACAGGTAAGTGGTGACAAATGTTATCACCGTACTTCAGGAAAAGTTGGGATTATAAATTTCTGCAAGTGATATGATAAAAACCTGATGTAATTATTCAAAAGAGAAAACATTCACTGTGTAGACCTGTTTTGGGCAAATTTTACAGGAAAGAACTATCAAAGATTCTGGGCTGCATAATTATTTCTATGGCAAAATTTTTGGTTGATGATTAACATATAAACTGACATTTTCATCAAAGTTCAAACAAACTAGCTTTCCTTAAAAGACTCAGTTTATTTGCATTTGTTAAGTTATGGTAAATAACAAACACTTTTATTTAAGTGTTGACAAAAACTTAATTCTAGCTATTTTTTTAGCGTTAGAGATGAAATTTCAGAAAATTGTATACCTCAAGGCATTAATTACCTACACAAATATCCATAGCTCAAATACCATATCACATTTGTAGAGTCTGTTTTTTAAATTAATGCATGTATCTTTAGACTAATCCTTGCCTTTGGGGAGTCATTTCCATTTTTAATATGGAAAGCACAGGGCGGTGCCTGTGGCTCAGTGAGTAGGGCGCAGGCCACATATACTGAGGGTGGCGGGTTCAAACCCAGCCCCCGCCAAACCACAACAAAAAAATAGCCGGGTGTTGTGGCGGGCACCTATAGTCCCAGCTACTCGGGAGGCTGAGGTAAAAGAATCACCTAAGCCCAGGAGTTAGAGGTTGCTATGAGCTGTGATGCCACGGCACTCTATCAAGGGCAATAAAGTGGGACTGTGTCTCTAAATATATATATATACACACACACATATGGAAGGCAGAGACAGGTTGACTTGAGACTTATGAAAGGCTACCAAGTTGTATAGGTTGTCTCACTAATTTCTACAGGTGGAGAAGAGTATGAATTCCTTCCATCAGTACTTGAATGTTGGCTGGACACCATGGATCATGCTTGTAATCCTAGCACTCTGGGAGGCCCAGGCAGGTGGATTGCTTGAGCTTAGGAGTTCGAGACCAGCCTGAGAACAAGACCCATCTCAACTAAAAATAGAAAAACTAGGAACTAGCCTGGTGTTGTGGGGAACACCTGTTGTCTCAGCTTCTGGGGAGGCTGAGGCAAGAGGATCAGTTGAGCCCAGGAGTTTGAGGTTGCTGTGAGCTATGATGCTCGACTGAGGGGAACAGAATGACACTCTGTCTCAAAAAAACAAGCAACGAAAAAACCTTGTTCATTTAACAAATATTTTCTGAGCATCTAGCATGAATAATGAACACTGAGCACACAACAGTGGGAACATATATGATTTCCATCTTCATGGAACTTCTGTTCTACTGTGTGAAACATGTAATCAGATTGTGATCAGAATCACATGTAGCTCTGAGAACCCTGACCTTGTGGTATGAGGAAAACTTCCCTGAGGAAATCAGGTCGCAGCAAAATTCTAATGGATATAAAGTACTACTTACGAAAAGGGGACACATGGAAAGAATGGTGCCAGTAGAAGGCACAGCCATGAGGAAGGCATTTTTAAGGACTTAAAGGAGCAGCACAGTTGAAACTGAAACAATGGTGGAAGTGGGACAGATAAGGAGGATCTTTTTGGTTATTTGTGAAGGATTGGGACTTTAGCCAAAGATCCCTGAGTCTTTAATAGTTTAGACTCAATCATAAGAAAATGAACAAACACATGAAAAAATGGGCAAAAGATCTGGACATTCCATCACAGAAGATAACAGATGGTAAGTAAGCATATAAAAAGATGTTCAACATCATATGTCATTAGGGACTTGCAAATTAAAACAAGCTTCCACTACGCACCTGTGAGAATGGCCAAAATCCAAAACGCTGACAAGGATACGGAGCACCATGAACTCTCATTCATTGCTGGTGGGGATGCAAAATCCCCACTCTGGAAGAAAGTTTGGCAGTTTCTTACAAAACTAAACGTACATTTACCATATGATCCAGCAACGATGCATCCCAGTATTTTCCCAAAATGAGCTGAAAACACGTCCACACAGAAACCTGCACATGGGTATTTATAGCAGGTTTATTCATAATTTTCAAAACTGAAAAGCAACAAGCAAAGAAGATGGCCATCAGCAGTGGTACATCTAGTGGGATGTCCAGACAATGGAATATTAGTTAGCATTAAAAAGAAAGTGGCTATACAAGTCATGGAAACACACACAGGAAACTTAAATGCTTATTACTAAGTAAGTTAAAGAAGACAATCCGAAAAGGCTATGTAACTACATGATACCAACTCCACAACATTCTGGAGAGGCAAAACTATATAAAAAGATTAGTGGTGGCCAAGGGTTGGGAGGAGGAATGGATGAATTGGCAGAGCCCAGAGAATTTGGGGGGCAATAAAACTATTCTGTATGATTCTATAATGAAAGATACATGTCCTTACATTTATCAAAGGTTGCAGAATGTGTAATACCAAGAGTGACCTCACATAAACTATGGACTCTGGGTAATAACATGCCAATGTAGGTTCACTGACTATGGCAAATGTACTTCTCTGGTGCTAGGATGTTGATAGTGGGGAAGGTTGTGAGACAAGAACTATATTGGGAACTCCATACTTTCTGCTCAATTTTGCTATGAACCTGAAACTGCTCTTTAAAAACTCTGTTTTTAATAAAGCTTAAGGAGGGGAATTCATTATCATGTTTAAATTTTTAATAGATTACTCTGGACTACAGTGACCCACATGGGTGGAAATAAAGAAAAATGAACGTAGGAGAATAGCTAACCACAGCGGTCCAGGTGGGAGATAGTCCCTGCTTTGGTCTAGGGTGGTAGCAAAGGAGAAGGTGAAAACATGTTGGCCCTAGAGAGAGAAATAATATTCACCTACGTGTCCCTGTATAAATCAATGAACTGCTTACCCTTACGTCTCTCATCTATTACAAGAGAGAAGTAAGGAATTGCCCTGGGGATCTTCATGATTTAGGGAAAACCCATCTCTGAACTACACATAAGACAAACAGAATCAGTTGAGTACTTGAGTCTGACATCTTTTTACTGTCAGACCTATAACGTCTGACAATTAGATTCACAAACTCATCCTAGAAAAAGTGCTACATATCTCATTGCTGAATATCACTGCAGTCACCTTTGAAGTACTTGAGAACATATGCACCAACGCCAGCACCTAGTCCACCCTTCAAAGTGAACTCTTTTTCTGAAATTACCATCAGATCTGCAAACTTAATTGTCCAACTTCAGGCAGATAACAGTTTTTATGAGAGAACTTTTAAAACATAACTTCCTAAGTACTCTTTAAATATAAGTCCACTTATTTATTTTAATCCTAATTGTGATGATAGCAATCAATAAATAGTATGTAATCAAATAACAAAAATAGACATTTTTATTTTTTTAAATTTTTTTAGCAACAGAGTCTCATTCTGTTGCCTTCAGTAGAGTGCTATGGCGTCATAGCTCACAGCAACCTCCAGCTCTTGGGCTTAAGGAATTCTCTTGCCTCAGCCTCCCAAGTAGGTGGGACTACAGGCTCCCACCACAATGCCTGGCTATTTTTTTGTTGCAGTTTGGCCAGGGCCGGGTTTGAACCTGCCACCCTCGGTATATGGGATCAGCACCCTACTCACTGAGCCCCAGGCACTGCCCCCCAAAATAGACATTTCTAGAAACCAAAAAATATTTAGTGTTATTTTGAGTTGGCTTTTTCTTTTTCTTTCCTTTTTTGGAGACAGAGCCTCAAGCTGTCACCCCTGAGTAGAATGCTGTGGCATCACAGCTCACAGCAACCTCAAACTCCTAGGCTTAAGCGATTCTCTTGCCTCAGCCTTCCAAGTAGCTGGGACTACAGGTGCCTGCTATTTTTTGGTTGTAGTTGTCATTATTGTTCGGCAGGTCTGGGCTGGATTCGAACCCACCAGCTCTGGTGTATGTGGCTGATGCCTTAGCTGTTTGAGCTACAGGCGCCAAACCAAATTGGATTTTTCTTTTGTTTATACTTATAATTTTGAGTTTTACTTAGTAAGCTTTACATAACTTTAACAAAGTTTTTTAAAACTTTAGGAAGATATTATCCATTTATAATGTTCATAATACATTATAATATTCACAATGTTACAATATTCATAATATTTCTATTTCATTGCCATTACCCCATTCCTCTTTCTCTTTTTACCAAGTGAATATAAGTAAAAGACAAGAGCAATTTGAGACTCAAAATCAGTATCTCCTAAGGTCATGGTTCTTTTATACCACCCTCTAATCCAGGGGTCCTCAAACTTTTTAAACAGGAGGCCAGTTCATTGTCCCTCAGACCGCTGGAGGGCCGGACTGCAGACCCCAGGACTAGTCGGCTGCTAAGCAGGACAGGCAGCGGCGGCAAAAACACCCGGGCCGGATAAATATCCTAGGCAGGCTGCATGTGGCCCAAGGGGACGCATGTAGTTTGAGGACGCCTGCAATCTTTCAAACTCTTCTAGGAAACATCTTATTCATATAAAAGGCCATTCCCATCAACTCATGAATGGGTTAATACACTGTGGTATGCATATACTATTCAGCCATAAAAAAGATGGGACTTTACATCTTTTTAATAAAGTATCACAAAAGTGGAAAAGTAGCCAATGTACACAAAACTAATATGAAACTAACGGATAACTACATGCCCACACGAAAGAAAAACACAATTAAATTCAAGTGGAGGGAACTGGAAGGAAGTAAAAGAAAGAGGAGAAGAGGAAGAGATTAGTGTACAAAGTAAGGGTATAGCTGCACACCCCCTTGGTGAACGGCTCAACTACAACTTGAACTTCACCTAACAAATGCAAACAACGTAACCTAATCATCTGTACCTTCATGTTAAATCTGGGATAAATAAAAAAAAGGCCATTAAGGGCAATGGCCCAAAACATGCTAGATAATTAGAGCTGAAAGCCAAACCTTGACAAAGAACATGTTTGAATTTAATAAAAATGCATTTGCAGAATCAATATACTATAATGATAAAGATAACATGTAAATCTAGAAAATTTTCTTGTTAGAGCTGATTAATATTTGCCTAAATCACAAAAATCTCACCACTTGAGAGATGTTTTCTGTTACTGAAGAGAAATATCCTTTCTGGATGTAATTGAAAAATGATTGGCGAGTACTACATAATTATAATAAATATACATGTATGGATAATTTCAATGTTTCATTATGCAGAATTGAGTATTTAATTATTAGGACAAAAAGTTATTGTGACTAAAGAAAATAATGCATGTCTATCATCTGAAGTGACACATGGCTATCCCACGATATATGTATCCAATTCCGAAGTTGTTTTCTCAGTATTTCAATAATACTATGTGCAATTTTAATAGTCAAGACATCATTTGACTGCTAATAAAGAATAATCTGATTTGCATAAATTAGATTTGTATTATTTGTCAAAGTGATAGATTCTGACTTTCAGGAAGACTGCCAACCATTAATATGATCACGGAGAACTAATATTTGATGTATAAATTCTAATCTCATCTTTTGTACACCGAGAAAAGAGATTAACAATTTTATCCACATCGAGATGCTTGTTTTGAAGGATTGATTCCATTTCTCTGAATAGCTCTTTCTCCAGTTTCTTCATGTTGTCCAGTATTGTTTTGGCTTTTTCCTAAATACCAAAATAAACAAATACATGAGTTTAACTGAATTCCAACCCACCTCTACACAAGAATTGTTCAACCTGATCTCTACTTCTGGTTTGGCTTCCCTCCTATTCTTTAGATACAGAAGGGATGAAATTCTTTGGGAAAAACTATTGCTTTAGATTGAACTAACACTAAATCATTATTTTTAGTAAAAAAGATAAGAACAATTATATACGATTAGTCTATAAGCAGGAAATGTACAGACAATAGAACAATTGAAAATCTGACATTAATTATATATGGAGAAGTTTGCTGAAGGTTGAGGCTGAGATATTTTTATCATATGAGGTCTTCTGGTCAGGCGCAGTGGCTTGTGCCTGTAATTCTAGCACTTTGGGAGGCTGAGGCCAGAGGATCACTTGAGGTCAAGAGTTCAAGACCAGTCTGGGCAACATAGCAAGACCCCTATCCTACAAAAAAAATTAAAATTAGCCAGGCAAGTTGGTGCATTTGCAGAATGCACTTGGACAATACTTGGGACGCTGAGCCCAAGAGTTCAAGGCTGCAGCGAGCCATGATTGATCACACAACTACGCTCTAGCCTGGGAGGCAAAGCAAGACACCCTTCTCTCTTAAAAAAAATATATATATATTATCAAATTAAAGAAACAGAATAGTAATGTTCTAGGGAAAAAGCAACTAAAAGAAGACATTGACTTCTTTCTTGTTTCAAGAAGGGAGAATGTCCATAACTCTTACGGAGAAGAGCAATTTTTACATTGTTGATCAATTACCATGATCTATTTACAGGGTTATCTAGACAAAAAGTATGTAAGAAAAATGTTATTATAAAGTGAGCATAATTTAAAATAATTGAATCATTTGGGGGTAGAATTCCATAAAACAAATATTCTAATCTTAACATAAATTTCAATATGAAATTATATGTAATTTTTTTCGAGGAAATATTGCATTTTATATCAGTGGAGAAAAAAATAGATTTTTTTTTATTTTTTATTTTTTTTAGAGACAGAGTCTCACTTTATTGCTGTTGGTAGAGTGCTGTGGCATCACAGCTCACAGCAACCTCCAAGTCCTGGGCTTAAGCGATTCTCTTGCCTCAGCCTCCCAAGTAGCTGGGACCACAGGTGCCCACCACAATGCCCGGCAATTTTTTGGTTGCAGCCGTCATTGTTGTTTGGCGGGCCCAGGCTGGATTCAAACCCACCACCTTAGGTGTATGTGGCTGGCGCCTTAGCTGCTTGAGCCACAGGCGCTGAGCCTCTAAATTACCTCTAAACCTACTTTTTATGTGAAGGAAGGAAAGTTGATACTCTAAAATTCAAAACATAGATTGAATCACACTTAACTGTTAACAATACAACAGAGAACAAAATTGAATCATACTTTGTTATTATCTATTACTTCCAATGCCTGTTGATGTTTTTGGTAGAGTGGGTGTCTTCTGTCAGGCTTAAAATGTGGCTTCTTTCTAACTGGATCTTCAAGTTCAAATGTTGGTGAGCAGGTATCCCACAGTTGCGAGATATGTGGCACAAATATGAAAGGCTTAAAAACAGATCTAGAAGAAAAGTCTTTACTAAATTGACATGTCAAGACATAAACAATATTCAGCATTATTCTAAGTCTTCCAAGTCCCTATTATTAGAAGTTTCTATTAATGATGTCATATACTAATTTGTAATGGTTATACCTATGCCTGTCTTCCTTGGTATGCTGGGATCTCCTCTGGGGTAAGGGACCATGCTTTATTTAGCCTTGAATTCTCATAAATCTAACAGAGGGCCCAGCACATACACAGTGTCAGCAAAGTAAAAGTTTGCCTTTCCTACTTCGTCTTCCACTGTTGGAGGGTAAGAAAAACCCTAAATGTTATACACTGGGGATTCGGACTTGAGGTAAATATCAGCACTGATGTTAAAAAGGGGGACACGGGTTTTGTTCCATTTTCTTCAAAATATCTTTAATAATATGAAAGACTATCACACTAACAGTAAATATCATTTCTAAATGTAACATGCATTAAGTTTTGTGAAAGATATTAATGACAAATCAAGATAATCTCTAAAACTCTGACTTAAAATATAGCTGGAACTAACAATATTTTAAATTTTATAATACAGGCCTATGTATTTTACATATAACTGCATAAATAAATCTGGTACATCATTTAACCTTTTTATTAACTGTTATTAATCATCTAATGTTTGCAGTATCTGAAATCTGAGTAAGAAGACCTGTCTACTTTATTTTCTCGACAATATTAAATATATCTGTGGGAAAGAAGAGTAAGGGTAACCGCATATAAGAAACTATTAACATTTCCTTCCTTTAAAAAATTAGAATAGTTGTGCATACATGGAAATCACATACTAAAACCTAAACAGAAAATTTATCAAAAAATTATTGCCTTATTTGTGTAACATAAATTTAGCCTGACAAGATCACCAGCATACTAATGATTCTACCCATCCCCTGATCCCTGGCTTTTTTACAGTATTTTGTGAGTTTACCTCTCAGGATCAGGAGTTCCTGTAAAGAAATGAATGCAAGGAAGGGTGGAGTCTTGAGGTAAAATAGAAACCATGCTTGCAGTGGTCAGAAATTCACCCTCCATATTAATCCCACTTGGTTTGTCACAGAGAATTTCCATCATTGTTTCAAAAGTTATGTTTCCTAGGGCAAAACATTTAAAAACCATTGAATATGTATGCCTATAGAGATGTCTTGCAAATCTGAACAGCTTTCTCTCCTGATAATATACAACATAAGCTACTGGTCTTGGTATAAATTAAGTAAGAGATTGACTATAAACAAACTTTGTATCAACTGCAATTAGACTCGTTCTACTGCCACAATGAATATATTTTTAAAACATATATAACATATGCAAAGGCTCAAAACCACTGAAACAGGTAAAAACTTCCTAAGAAGGAGGAATCAATAATGCCAAAATACACTGAATCCTATTACACTTACAGAATTTTTTTTTTTTTTAGGACACATTAAAATTTGCTTTAATGCTTCTTTGGGGAAAAAAAATCACACTTTTAGTGAATGAACAAAAAACATTTTTACAGTAGCAATAGGCTATTATTCTTATCTACCATCCCATGACTTCATAGGGAAGAGGTTCCAGTAGGTCAGGGAGGCACCTTGCCACTGAATGTGACAAAGTGTTGACTTTTGAATTCATGGGAAATAGATTCCAGCACCTTGTATCATCGATGTTACATGGGGTCTATTGGTTTTCCGGGATGCTATGCTGTACACCTATTGTACCATGAGCTCATGGGGAATAAATAGGTTCTTGCACCTAAAAACATGGGTACTGGTATTCCTGTTTGCTATGTTATTTGCTTATCATGCCACGAATTCATAGGGAATGGGTTCTAGGAGCTCAGGTTCTTTTCCGCTGGTTCTCACCAAGTGGGCTTCTCTGGGTGGAGCAGACTGGCGCTTCAGTTGAACCCAGGTACCTTTCTCTTTGGCTTCCTTCTTTTTCTGATCATTTTCCTTCACACGTTTCAGGAAGCTAACTCGGCTCTTAGAGTGCTTAATATGCTCAATACTAACATTAATCCTCTTGGCAAGAATCTTGCCCTTAACTTGTTGTTTACAACAATGCCAACAGCATGCTGGGCAACATTGTAGACTCTTCCAATTTTGCCATGGTAACATCTGTGTGGCATGCCTTTTTGAACAGTACCCATTCCCTTGATGTCTACAGTATCACCTTTCTTGTAGATTCACATATATGTGGCCAAAGGAACAACTCCATGTTTTCTAAAAGACCTAGAGAACATGTATCGGGTGCCTCTCCTTTTTCCCTTTGTGTTTGTCATTTTGGTGAATTACTGGAAGATGGTGTCTCTGGCCAAAAAGCCACTTACAGAATTTTTTAAGGCATATTGAGTATGCAATGAATTAATGATATCACTACTATCTGAGTCTATCCATTTTGGGAACCAAATATTAAGAGAATGTTGTGCTTAGTTCCGGTATCATAAAAGATATTCTTTACAAAATACTTTCCTATAATAATTTCTATGCCTGATATCAATAATCTTAAACAAAAGTGTGAATTGGGCTGGGCACAGTAGCTCACACCTGTAACCCTTTTACTCTTAGAGGCCAAGGTAGGAGGACTGCATCAGGTCAGGAGTTCAAGACCAGCCTGAGCAAAAGCAAGACCCCATCTCTACCAAAAATAGAAAAATTTAGCTGGGCATCGTGGCATGCCCCTATACTCCCAGCTACTCAGGAGGCTGAGGAAGGAGGATCACTTGAGCCGAGGAGCTTGAAGTTGCAGTGAGCTATGATGATTCCACTCTAGTCTACCTAGGGTGACAGAGTGAGACTCTTGTTTAAAAAAAAAAAAAAAGGGTGAACTATAATCTGAGAAGAATGAAGAAGACAAAATACATCGTTGGTTAACTGAATTTGTGCACAATTCTGCATGAGTCCTTTAAAAGCTGAAACATTCACTGTGTATGACGAAATACTGTGTACGATGTAATACTATGTGATTATATTGTTTTCTGCTTTCATAGTTAAAGTTTAATACATTTAAATGAAATTTTTTGAGAAAAAATCTATTTTATCTATTTAGTAAACCCATGTTCTAACGTGAGCCTAGTTAGAACATGACTAAAGAGATAAAACCTATTTTATCTCTTTAAAATACATGTCCCTGGAGGTAGAGAACATCAGAATTCAGTATTTGGAGAGCATAACCAAAAAATTTAAATACTTGAATCAATGACAAAATTAGAATGTAAATCAAAAGATTTTTTTGAACTCAGTGGCAAAGATGACAAAAGCTTCCAAAATCTATGAGATACAGAAAAAGCAGTGTTAACGGGGGAATTTCATAGCCTTAACTACCTACTTCAAAAAGATAGAAAGATCACAAATTAACAACCTAATGTCACCCCTCAAGGAACTAGGAAAAAAGGAACAAACCAAACCCAATGCTAACAAAAGAAATAACAAAGCTCTGAGCAAATAAATCAAATGGAAACAAACAAAATACAAATAAACAATGAAACAAGAAGTTGGTTCTTTGAAAAGATAAACAAAATCAACAGACCGTTACCTAAGTTAACCAAAAATGAAGAGAAAAGGGCTCAAATAAACTCAATCAGAAATGGAAAAGGAGACATTGCAACTGATACCACAGAAATACAAAATGTCATCTGTGACTAATTTAAAAACCTCGAAGCCTCTATGCACATGATCTAGAAAATTGAGAGGAAATGAATGAATATTTGGAAACACATAGTCTCCCAAGGTTGAATCAGGAAGAAATGGAAATCCTGAACAGACCAAAAATAAGTGGCAAGACTGAAACAGTAATAAAAATTTCTCAACAAAAAAATGCCCCAGACCAGACAGATTCACAACTGAATTCTACCAGACCTACAAAGAACTGGCACTTAATCCTACCAAAACTATTCCACAACATCAAGGAGGGAATCCTTCCTAATTCATTCTACAAAGCCAGTATCACCCTGAAACCAAAGCTAGGAAGAGACAACAAAAACAGAAACCTACCAACCTATATCCCTCCTGAACATAGAAATAAAAATCTTCACCAAAATACGTGTATCAGCAAACCAAATTCAACAACATATCAAAAAGATAACTCACCATGATCAAATGTGTTTCATCCCAGATATATAAGGATAGTTCAACATATGCAAATCAATAAATGTGATTCACCACATAAACAGAAGTAAAAACAAAAACCATATGATCATCTCAATAGATGGAGAAAAAGTATTCAATTAAATTCAGCATGCTTCACAATAAAAACCCTCAATAAACTAGGCACAGAAGGAATATACCCAAAGTAATAAAATCTACTTATGACAAGCCCATGACCAAAATCATACTGAAGGGAGAAAAGATGAAAGCATTCTCCCTAGGGACTAGAACAAGGCAAGGATGCCCACTGTCACCTCTATTCAGTATTATACTGGAAGTCCTAGTCGTAGCAATCAGAGAAAAGAAAGAAATAATGGACATCCAAATTGGGAAAGAAAAAGTCAAACTATCCTCATTTACTGACAATATGATCTTTTATCTGTAATAAAAGGGTTTAGGTCTTTTAGTCTTAAGTCTTTAGGGTTTCAGATAGGAGGAATGGATTTAAGAGATCTTTGCACAGTGGTGACAATGGTTAATAACAATGTATTGTATTCTTGAAAACTGCTAAGAGAGTAGATTTTAATTCTTATCACAAAAAATGATAAACATATGAGATAATACATAATTAGCTCGATTTAGCCATGCCATAGTGTATATATGTTTTTAAACAACATGTTGTACTTGATAAATATAATTTTTATTTGCCAATTTATTTATTATTTTTATTTATTTATTTATTTTTTTAGAGACAGTCTCATTTTATTGCCCTCGGTAGAGTACTGTGGCATCACAGCTCACAGCAACCTCCAACTCCTGGGCTTAGGCGATTCTCTTAGAAAAAACCCTAAAGACTCCATCACAAGCCTCAAACAATAAAGTCAACTCTTAGGTTACAAAATTAATGTACATATATCAGTAGCATTTCTATATACTGACAACAGTGAAGCTAAAAATCGAATCAAGAACCCAATACTATTTACAATAGCTGCAAAGAAAATTAAATACGTAGGAATATACTTATCCAAGGAACTGAAAGAGCTCTCCAAGGAGAACTACAAAATACTGATAAAAGAAATCATAATAAATGACACAAACAAATGGAAAAATATCCCATGCACATGGACTGCAAGAATCAACATTGTTAAAATAAATGGTACAGGAATCATTGGCTAGTTATTTGCAGGGTGGGGAAAACAGCTGGAATTCTAATTCATACTTCATTTTGGAATAACCCCAGAAGAATTGAAATTTTAAATTTACAAAATCAAACTATAAACATAAGAAATTGGTGACCATTTCTGTGCTACAGTGAAAATGACCTCTGAAAGCATGACACTAATACTAGAAAACATATAAGAAAAATTCCACATAGGACACTTTTTTTTTTGAAACAGAGTCTCACTATGTCGCCCTTGGTAGAGTACTGTGGTGTCACAGCTCACAGCAACTTCAAACTCTTGAGCTTAAGTGATTCTCTTGCCTCAGCCTCCCAACTAGCTGGGACTGCAGGTGGCTGCCACAACGCCCAGTATTTTTAAATTGTTGTTGTTGTTGCAGTTGTTGTTTATTTAGTAGGCCCAAACTGGGTTCCAACCCGCCTGCCTCGGAGTATGTGGCTGGTGCTCTAACCACTGAGCATGGGTGCCAAGCCTGGGATACTTCTTTTTATGTTCATATTTTCTGTGTTTTTATATCTAAATCTTTTTCTTTTTGAGACAGAGTCTCACTATGTCACCCTCACTAGAGTGCTGTAGCGTCACAGCTCACAGCAATTTCAAACTCTTGGGCTTAAGTGATTCTCTTGCCTCAGCCTCCCAAGTAGCTGGAACTACAGGTGCCCGCCACAATGATCAACTATTTTTTTGTTGTAGTTGTCATTGTTGTTTAGCAGGCCCTGACTGGGTTCGAACCCGCCAGCCTTGGTGCATGTGGCTGGTGCCCTAACCACTGAGCTATGGGCACAGAGCCCTTATATTTAAATCTTATTTTAGGGTTTTGTTTTTCAATCTAATTTAGAAATCTTT